ATAGTATCGTTATTGTTTTATCAGTATCGATACCCTTGCCTAGAGTTTTGAGTTTTCAACCCGATTTTTACTTAAATGGGGTCAAATTTTGTTATACTTACACCATACAATACTTTCAAACCCTTCTTTAACTATCCATATTAATTTTCCTCTATTTAATTACTTAAAACATCTAGCATCCTTCAATATCATTTGATTCTAATAATCACATCACATTTTCTAACTTGTTTTTTAAACTCACCCAATGCTTCTAATCTCTTATTTACTACTTTGACAAGTCAAATCTACCAATAAACATCCATAAACACTCATATATTAACACATCATTTCAAAACTCATTTTCTTAAATCTCTATTATTTCATCCATACCTTTGTTTTAATCCTCTTTAACCCTCCTTTTAGCTTACATATCACTTAAGGTTGTAAAAACAACCCATAATCGAAAGGCAAAACTGATTAAATTGAAGTTTACCTTTGGGCTATGGAGGGTGGTCCTTGCATTGGAAGAAGAAGAAGAAGAGAAATAAGCTTTTTCCTTTTCTCATTTTCTTAAATCCTTAGTTTAAATATGTTTTAAATTCATTTCACCTAAAAGACTAAAATGCCCTTTCAATAAACTATCTTTCACAAATTGGTCTTACTTAAGTCATTTCTTATACTTTACTAATTACTCAATTTAGTCCTCCAAATTTTTAATTCCTTTCAAATTAATCACTGACCTATTATTTGGGGTATTACATCTAGGCTTCTAGCGGCGCTGGACAACAATGATCTTCTCCTCCAAACCCTAGTTGAGAATTGGGCTGCTGTTGGGCCTCCAACTAATTGGACTGCTTCATTTGGGTCATTTGATTTGGTTTTGTAAAATGTGCACCTTATGTTGGACCTAAAAAAGATGTAAAATAAGAGTTACAAAATTATTTTAATCCATGCATGTATTTACTATTAATAGTTTAATTTAATACATATAACTATATTCGATTTTAACTATTAATAATATATATATAATTATATGTACATGACATAAGCGCACCCATAACATTATCTATCCATATAAATAAATATACAAGTCATAATATAAATATTCAATTATATAATTATATAATAATAATAATAATAATATAGACCCAAACAAAAGCTCGATTGAAATCCCCGGACAAAATGAGCATCTACAGCTGCCCCTCTTTGCTTATTGTCATATAACGAGAATAGAGCAAAGATCAAAAGATGGTTACATTTGTCTGGTTACAAGGACTTCGAAAGGTTAATCTGCTCCACTGCAACTTAAAATATTTCCTAGAGATAAAAGTAGCTTGAACAAAGGTTGGTCTTGTAATCAATCAAATGAAATATATAATTGTTTTAATCTTGGAATCTGGGATGTTAGGGTGTAAACCAGCAGTTACTCCCATGGAAACCAACCTAAAGTTGAGAAGGGAAGAGATAGGTAGTCCAATCAATAAGGAGCAGTAACAAAGGTTGGTTGGAAAACTCATTTATTTGTCTCTTACAAGACTAGACATGGCTTTATTAGTTAGTATTATGAGCCGACACATGTGTGATCCTAAATACGTATATCTTGATAGAGTCAATAGAATCTTGAGATACCTCAAGTTTATTCTTGGACATGGTTTATTTTTCAAGAAAAATGAAGACAAAACAATTAAAGTTTTCACTGATTCAAGCTAGGCATGGGAGCTAATAGATATGAGGTCAACAAGTGGTTATTGCCCATTTGTGTGGAGAAATTTGTTAACGTGGAGTAGCAAGAAGTAACTGTTTGTAGCTAGTAGTATAAAATCGGAACTTAGTGGTTTCAAATAGTTTGATCTATGAACTTATAGCTAAAAACCATATGTATCATGATAGAACTAAGCATGTTGAGATAGATAGATAGATACCTCATCTTTGAGAAGGTGAACAATGAAGTTGTTAAACTCAAGTTTGTCTATACTAAAGACCAACTAGTTGATGTTCTCGCAAGGCCCTTCCAAGATTTACCTTTGATGAAATTACATCCAAGTCGAGACTCTACAACATATACTCACCAGCGTGGGGGAGACTGTATGTTGCAGGCGTGTAAAATAAGTTTAGTGTAAATTGGAATATATTGCGGAAATTAGACAAGTATATTTCCAAATATCTAGTTCTTGACATTTAGGAATTTAACAATAATGTAGATGTTGATTAACTTATTTTATGCAATTTTTCCTATATTATAAATATGTATCATTTTTATCAATAAAAATTAATTCAATTGATAAGAACATATTACTCACAACTAAGAATTTGGTTCAAACACCTAGTTTCTACATATATATGATATGTATTTTAATGATTGTTTTGCATTGTTTATTAATTTTAATGCTTGAATAAGTTTATTTTAGCGTGTAATTGTTATCAAATACTATAAATTAAAATTCATATTTCGGATGTAGATTTAATATTGATACTAGAATTAAATATCAATATTATCCATTGTAGTATCAATACTAATCCTCAGTATCGTACTAAAATGAGACTTGAATTTTATTAATGATAAAGAGTATCACTACTTATGCTTGTTGTATCGGTACTGATTGATCAAGTATTGGTACTTGTTTAGTGGTATTGATACCTTGTGTCCAAGATGTGCAAATTATGTAATTAGTCTTTGCTTGATGAATGGTTTATATTATGTTATTTTAAACTTGTAATTACATGATTAAAAGTTTGTTTTGGATAATTAGTCATTAAATTTATTTAATTGAAACTTCATTGGGCAATTCCTTAATTTGTAGCTATTTACACTTAAGCTCAAAACTTTTGAAAAATTATAATTTGGTCCCTAATCAAGATATTAGTATGAAATTAGTTATTTTCATATAGAAATACTTTTATATTAACCATAATATGTATGTGACAATTTATGATCAAAGTATGATGTATGATTAGATGTTTATGGTTCTATGTTCTCTAATAGTATCTTTGATCCAGTTTTTATCTAGGTTAGATTGAGGGCTTACAAGTTATGTATCTATAGCATAGTAGTTCAAACTCTATGATTACATGCTTATTAGGAGATTATCACTGTAGGTCTTTCATGAGCATACTATTCATGTGGGTGTAAAATCATTTAAATATATTTAATTTTAATGAGAGTGCAATATTAAAATGCTCATATGTAATAGCACAATTTCAATTACTTCATTTTAAAGATTTTAAATTTATTTTCTACAAAAATAGAATTTTTTTCCACTCTTTGATTTTGTTAAAGTTTGATCTCATTAAAGTTGAACGAAATGAAAATAGTTGTGTACAATTCACATTGCATATAAAATTTCATGTTACATATTCATGATTGATCCATTTCATTTAACTATATTTATATATGTGACCGTTGATGGGTATAATCATAATTGATATGATAATGGTTGCTTTAATTCGTTGATGGATGAAAATGTTATAAAATACATATTATATTATAGAAAATTTTGAGCTCATAAAGTTGTACATTTGTAGGAAACATATGTTACCCATAGGATATTGTTGGATCACTACAGCAAAACTGTCCTACAGAGGTGTTTTTAGCGGCGTTTTGAGAGTAAACGCCATTAACTTTAAGATATAGCGACGTTTATATTCCAAACGCCACAAAATGGTAACTTTAACGATATTTTTATACAAAACGCCACGATAGAGTAGTATTTTAGCGGTGTTTTTATACAAACGTCACGACAGAGTAGTACTTTAGCGGTTTTTTATACAAAACGCCATGACAAAGTAGTACTTTAGTGGCGTTTTTATACAAACACTGCAATATGATTCATTTATAGTATTTTTTTTTCAAAAACACCGTGACATAGTAATACTTTATCTGTGTTTGTAATTACAAACGCCGCAAGTTTTGAGTCTACTAATGTCGAAAACGCTTGGCCCTTTTTTCCTTTAACCTTTTTTTCCGTAACCATTGTTTTGAAAACCGGACCGGACCGGCCGGTTCAACCGGGAACCGTTGCCTAGTCCGGTTCAATCTAGACCGGTTGAACCGCTACTAGTGAACCGGCCAGAACCGCTGAACCGTTCAAACCAGACCGGCTGAAAACCGGAAAAAACCGGGAAAAACCAGAAAAAACCTCCAATTTTATTTTATTTTTAAAAAAAATTAAATCAAATGACGTCGTTTGTTAAACGAGCCAAGTTGAACTTGAGTATTGCTCAGCTCGACTCGAACTTGAAAAATTTAAAAGTAAGCTCAACTCGATTCAAACTCACGAGCTAAAAATTATGAAGTTTAACTCGAACTCGAAATATAATATTGAAACTTGAACTCGAAAAGGTTTTAACTCAAAAAAAATTTAGAAGCTCGATTGAAACCTAAAATTCGAGCTTGATTGAAGTGAAAGAATAGTTCACTCAATGCTTACCAAAATGCTTCATGATTTTGAATGTCAAATTACCTCTATTATTTATAGAAGTTAGTTAAGATGATATTCTATGTTTCTTAGCCATGTGATATTTGTTTTTAAAAAAAAATTAAACCAAACAATATCATTTTGTTATGATTTTTTTAGCCCCAAATTTATTTTTAAATTATAGTTATATAATTATATTTATTATTTAATATATTTTACCTTAAATATTATGTTGTAGTTAATTTGAATCATTTTGTTTCACTTGATTTTATGGTTTTTAACTTATATATGTTATGATTTGCTTTGAATATGAATTGTTATATAAAAAATTATTTTTTATTAAATATTTTTGGTATTTTTATTTAATTTTTTAAATAATTATGACGTCGTCCGGTTCTTCCGATCGATTGGACCGATTCAATCAGTTGAACTAATAAACCGATAGTATGACCGATTTATTAACCGGTCCGATTCTGAAAACCATGTAGTAACATGTTTTCTCACTTTTCCGCCACTTACCCTTTACCCACAAGTCGCAGTTTCATAAAGTTTCGTTTCTAGGGTTCGTTTTTAAGGTTCATTTCAATTGAATACATTAGTTTTCCTTTTAGCTGTTTTCTCTCATCTATTTCCTTTGAATGTTTTTTTTTTATCATTTAAAAATCTTAACGTGGTTGAGTTCTTTGTCATTAGGTTTCATATTTTTCAAACTGAGTGTATGCTTCAGAAGAAGCTAGAGCAGAGGCTTTGGGGAAGCAGAAAAATTGGAATCTGATTTAGGCCCTAATTTCCCTGTCTTCATCAAGTTCATGTTTCGGATCGCTTGATTTTCCAGCTAAACCTCTTCTCATTATGAATCAAAAGAATTGAACTCCAATTTTAAATTTTTTACTGGTAGTACTGCAATCTCTGGATTAGACATAGGATTTAAAACAAGTTTCTGATTCAGGTAAGCTGTTAATTTATTTTATTGATTTGTTTTTATTTTATATTTCTTTGATGGAAATTCTACATGTTTAGCAGGTATTGGATATGTCAAGTCAAAGAAATTCATCTAGGCGAAGTTCATCAATGGTAAACTTGTCGTCGACAAGGAATAGATTACCGGAGATGGAGGTTCGAACAACAGCTGAAAACTCGTATCATCTTCTTGTCCTATGTAAGTCTTTTTTTCAACTCTTATTTTCTTTTTAAGATCATTTTTAAAATATATTAGTTTAATTTGAATATTGAAGAATTATTGAAGTTCTTATAAATTAAATTATGAAAAATCGCATTTATTTTGAGAAAAAAATGGTTTTGTAGTTTAGTCGTAGGTTTTAGGTTGTTAGCTCTTAAATATTGCCTTAGAAGCGAAAGTTGTTTGCCTAATATAAAGGAAATGGATGTTGGCAGGTATATTTTCATTATGTGCATTAAACTGTATATTTGTTATGCTTTCATGTTTTCAGTAAGTCATTTTTTACTTTGTTCCCTTTGTTTCTAGGTTTACATTATAAGGGTGAACTGTTTCGAACAAAGTAACTAGCTATTAGCTTTGAGTAATTTGGATTGTGGAGCCATACTAGCAGTTTCAGTTCAGGTAATCAGTTTAGATGAATACTGCTGAAGTTAGATAAAGTGTTGGTTTGGGGAACTAAGCTTGTTTAGCAAGAGATTGTAATTTGTAAGAGCTACATTGCCTTGCCTATACTCGAGGTGAGTGTCGTATACGGTCTACGGGTACATTTCGTGAACAAGTGCACATGTATGACTTGGATATAGATGTTGGTTCTTATTAATCAATATTGAATTCACTTGTTTTGTTTTATTAATTTCAATGTTGCAGGTGATACATGGTTCAACGGAATTTTCATGGTTTCGCTATCTTAAGGTTTTGTTTGGAAGCATATGGTTACTCTTTTTGTTCATAGATTTACTTGACACAAAGACTTGCAATGGATGTATGTATTCCAACTTTAATTTAATTTATTAACTGTATGATTGTTAAGTTATTATTGTGGTTGTTCCATGTTAATTTACTGGGTGCATGCACAATATTTACTGGGTGGAATGGTTCTTTATGTAGAATTACTTGTCCTCTGATTTGATTGTTTAGTTCGGTTTAAATTAAAGTCTTGTTTCTCTATGCAGGACAACATCCCTTGTAAGAAATCATGCATCTGGAAAAAACTTATTTATGGTGATTGTCAGGTTTTTGAGACCTTTGTTGGTTCTATTTCTGCAGGTTTGCCTTAACTTTTGGACTTGCTGAGTCTATTTCTCTTGCATTATATTCTTCTTGTGAATTAATCTTTTTAATGCAAGAATAAAAGGAAACATGTTTTTGTATGCTTCATCATTCAAGTGAATAGATGTTAAATATTTGTTTTTTGCCAACTTTTTGTCTGTTTTTTCTAAATTTTGATTGAAACCAAACTATACAAATAGGAGATCTACTCTTAATGCTTTTATTTTTAATAACTTATTGATTGATATTCTATCCGTTCCATACTTGTATGCCCTCATAATCACAAGCACTAAGATACTTTCCTTGTTGCTCTGCAGGTGTTGGAGTTGGATTTGTTTCTGCTCTAATATCCTTACTGATCAACTTTATATTTATATTCCACGTTTGATACTATAAATTACAAGCTATTATTGTTATACCTTTAAACCTTAACTCCTAGAAACTCTTTAAGTATGCTGGATTAGATGTTGACAAGTAAGTATTGCATTTGCATCTTTTGGTTTCTTTATGAAGCTTCTTAGAATTATTAGCTTTTAATCACTGACCATGGTATCTTTCATCATGCTTTCCTCAGTTTTCAGAACTTGGAGTGTTGTCTCTATCACTGGAGGTTTAGCAGTCCTGAAAGTAATTAAAAAAAAAAGCTATAGGAGTGCAAAGATATTCTTTAAAGCTATGAAAGTTTAGTTTGTTAGCTTTGAACTTAATATTCTTTAAAGATATCATGTACGATGAATGATGATAAAATGTTTTCTTTAATAAATTACTTTCATATTCTTTAGCTCTAAAAAGAATGTTGCTTGAGAGACCTAAGGTTTAAACTCATTAGTAAAACAATATTATATTAGCATTAATGGAAGTTTAAGGATTAAGATAGTGATGATCAACAATTTACGGGTTCAACGAAGAGCAACCCAATCAAATTTACTTATGCCAACCTTTTGCAAATAGTGACGTTTGTGGTAAAAATGCCATTACAAATCATAATATATAGCGGCATTTAGTATTACAAAATACACTAAAGATGAGATAATTAGTGGTGTTTTTTTGCCAAAAATGCCACTAAAGACAATAATTAGCGGCACTAGTGGCAAAAAATGCTATTATAGATAAGAGAATTAGCAGCATTTGTAGCCAGAAATGCTACTAAATATAGGATAATTCGTGGCGTTTTTTTGACAAAAACGCCACTATAAATCACAATATATAGCGGCATTTGAAAGAACAAACGCCACTATATATATCGACATTTTGCGACGTTTTAGGTATAAAAAAATGCCGCTAACTTTTGTGGCGTTCGTTTTAGTGGTGCTCTTACTAGCTCTGGTAGTGTTATAAGTAGGGATGGCAACTCAACCCGAATCCGACGGGTTCCGACCCGACCCGATCGGGGTCGGATTTTTTTTAAAAAATTTCGGGTTCGGGTCGGGTCGGGTTTAGGGTGAAAAAAATCCGAACCGACCCGACCCGAAATATATATATAATTTTATCCTATATATTTAGGGATAATTACAATAATGTCCCTCCATATATATTTTTTTTCAATTAAGTCACTGTTTTCATTGAATAAATTTTTTTTTATTATTATTTCGGGTCGGGTCGGGTTTCTAAGTCATATATTCGGGTCGGGTCGGGTGAAACCTTAATTTCGTCGGGTCGAGTCGGGTCACGGGTGAAAAACCCTTTCTTCTCGAGTTGGGTCGGGTGGCCCAAAAACCCGACCCGACCCGACCCATTGCCATCCCTAGTTATAAGCGGCGCTTAAAAGTGTCGTTATAGGACTAAAAACGCCGCTAAAAACTATTTTGTTGTAGTGGATTAAAATCATCAATTGTGGGTACCTATGTACAATGTATAATACTATTATAAAGTATGATACAAAATTAAGTGACTAATTATGTTACATGTGTCATAAGTATTAAAGTGTCATGAAAATAAAGTGTAGATACCATAAGTTGTATTATAATTTGATGAAAGATAAAATTACAAATACTTTAAAATAAATTCAATAATCAATTATATATACAGAATACATGCCATTTACGCTTCCAACATAGTCATGGTATATTCAATTTGGTAGTTACCAACTCTATTCTCATCCCACTTTTCAGTAATCTAAATTATATTAATTAATTCTAAGGGTTTAGAAAGTTGTTATATTTCTTTTTCTTTTTATAATAAGAAGACGACAACTTTTTGAATATGTTTGTGATTTTTTTATTAAATAATTATTCATTACATAATTATTAAACATATTTTTGAATTCTTGGATAATTTTTCTGCTCTAATGACACGTATTTTATTTATTATTTTTTTTTTCTATGACGATTTTGTTATTTTTTTGTACTGCTAAGAATGTCGGGAGTTGAGTCTAGTATGGTGGGATCGGTAATTAGCGATGACGAGGTGTAGGCTTTTCAATTGGATCTAGGCAACGAACCAAAAACAATTTCTTATGAGTTTTGTTTTACGGATCAACTTTTAGGCTATGAGATCTATGTTGCTATACACATGAATCCATTATGGGGACATCAATTTCGAAATTACAAGACAGGTGCTACCTTTTTCGTTTATATTTCAACGTGAATATATATAAGATAGAAGTGGACGACCCTTGGCGCCAAGAGTTCACATCTTCATATCCTCTATCAATTAAAAGAGGGGAGGATATGTTGAGGAATCAAATTCGAGCACTGGATATGTAGAAATACGAATGTTCATTGTTAAAAGGTTAAAAGTCTTTGAACATGTACTATATTTTATTCATCTTATATTTATTAAAATAAAAGGGGGAGGATCCGTTTTCTATCCCATTAATCCATAGTATATACATGGATATTGGTTCTATCCTTCTTCCCCCACTCACCTAAAAATTCAATCCCCGATCAACCCACGAATCTCAACCATATCCCAATAGCTTTATTCCCTAAAATTCTGCTCAACCAATCGGCCAACCCTATTTGAACAATAGTAATCTGAAAAAAAAACAAGAGAGGTTAAAAAAATAAGGAAAAAACTCGATAGAACACACAACTTATAAAAAAAGTCTAATGAAAAACTCTACACACAACTCCTTCAGAAAGATTCTAACAAAAAATAAAAATTCCTACAAAAAAAACATAAAGAGGAGTTCAAATATGAGATCGAACAACAAAGGAAAAAGAAACGAGGTGCTCGAGACTTACCCTCAAGCTTTCGATGATTAGGATATTTGTTGGGCAATTCAAAAGTAAAAAAGCAAGGAATGACTTGAGAAACGATACGAGTTGAAATTATGGGTGTGTAAAAATATTTCATCCGAACAGTTTGATTTGTTTATTCAATGATTCGATTCAAATATTTGAATATCCTATCTAATTTTTTTATTTTCGAATAATTCAGATCAGATATCCTATAAAAAATTTAGATAATTAGATTAAATACAAATTGAGAAAATGTTGATATCAGGTTATTTGAATATCCAAAAAATAAATGGGTCCTTAACTCTAGGCCTAGTAGCCCTATCTTAAGAGACTGTTGAATTGCAAAAGTAACTGTTGTAAGAATCATCTTGCCAATTTGGCCCAAGATCTTCCATTGGCTCTACCCATTTTGCAAGATCTTCCATTGGCTCTACCTGTTCTGCAATTAAAGGTTTAGGATCATCGTCTTTTAGTCACAAAATGTCTATGGTTCGACTTGGAAAGTAATGCTTTGATCAAAACAAAAGTACTCAAGTCCTAGAGAGAAAACAATTATAAAATCACCTCCCTGCAAATTAGAAAGATTGACCATTTCTTTTACAAAAATACAAAATTGCATACATGTTATTCTTTCTTGTCAATCTTCCGTACTCTCCATGTTGACTGAATAAATATATCATATCGGTTATTGCAAATCGATATATAGACTAATGTCTAAAGTGTGTGTAATTATGAATTGTTGAACCAATGTATAGAATAAAAGGTAAGGAATATGAGATTGCATATTGATGATTAAAGAAGAAAGAGAAAAATGAATGAATGATTTCAGACGGTGATTAAGCAAATACAAGGCAACAAGATCAAAGTAAATTGGTCCTAAAGGACTAGAAGTACTATTAAGACAATGATTAAGAAGTAAAATAATGGACATGTTCGGATCGGATATCTCGATATTCGATCTGAAAATTCAGATATCTGATTTTTTTTAATTGAATTCATATCATTATTTTAGTTATCTAAAATTTTGAATTGGATCAGATCGGTATTCAAATTCGTACACCCCTAATTAAAACTCAACTTGATCCAATTATTGGCCCATAGCATGATAAACTTTTAAGTAGATGCTTTCCGAATATCCCGAGGAAAAGAAGAAAGTTCAGTATGTTTATTTTTATTTTTCTACGAAGCCGAACAAAAAAAAAAAGTTGAACTAAATTATCAATCGATCTCATACAAGCGTTGAACCGACCCATGCCTAGTTCAATTTGCAGGCAGTGATATTTTGTAGTTAATAAAAATTCATTAGAACGCAAATAAATTGTCTGGGTGGTGTAGTTGGTTATTACGCTAGTCTCACAACTAGAGGCCCCCGATTCAAACCCGGGCTCAGACATTTATTTCCATGTGAAACATGAGTCTGCAATCCATGTGAATGAAAGGCTTATTCATATATGCCAGCATGAAGAGGCCAGTTATTAGTTAAAAAAGCCATTCAACGATTTCTACAAAGATAATACAAGTTTATGACGTCGATGGTTGAACCCGTTTCACTGCTATTTTGTACTTACATTTTCTTTAGGAACTATAATTTTCATCTTCGGATATAATGAAGAATTGGGATCCATCTCCTATGCTATTTCTTGTATGATGTTGTTCTAACATTGTTATATGAAAAAGTTGGGATGGTTTTCTATTCTATGATTGGCTGCTTGAGGTTTTCATTTGCACAATGAATGTAATCTACACTTATGGAAATAAAGAGTTCTATTATGTTACATGTGTCATAAGTATTAAAGGGTCATAAAAATAAAGTGTAAATACCCAAAGTTATATTTATAATTTGAAGAAGGATAAAATTATAAATACTTTAATATAAATTCAATAATCAATAATATAAATACGTAGTGAAACCTAAAAATATATAAGCTTGTATTTCTCTCCATCCAGCCAGAGAGTTTTACAATAAGAGAAAATTTATCATCATGAAGATCAAAATAAAAAAAAACTTCAATTTTTTTATATAATTGATTCCGACACACTTTCACATCTAATAATTTTATTCTTGATAATTTAACATGACATATTGTACGTTTTATTTTTATATAAATTTTATTCAAGCTTCTATTATGAATGCAAATATTGACAAGAAGCCAAACATAATTTGTGCTCACCGACCTAGGTGTGTGGTTAAAAATTGTATTCGTTTGAAATATATATTTTTCTCAAAAAAAAAATTTCGAATAATAATTGATAGTTTTATTTTATTTCTATCTTTTATTCTCAAAAGTATATAGATAATTCTATCAATTTTATTTTTATTTTTTTATTCAAGCACGGAATTTATTTTTCATTAATAAAATCTTTTTCATAAGAAAAAATAATAATAACTTTTCAAGAAACAGGAGGGCCTTTAAAGTTGAGAGCAACATGGGAGAAGAAAGGACGACGAAGCTGAGGAAATGGAGTGTCGGTTGTGATAGTGGATGCAATGAAGTGGCCTTACAAAGGTAGTTGTAACTGTGGGGGCATCATCACTTTTTTCTCTCTCATTTAGTAGCCTCCTCTCATTATTATTATTATTATTATTATTATTATTATT